TGGCTGTTCTATATACAAGAACTAGAATCCATTTAGGTTATGTTGTTGAAGCCATTCCGACAGTGGGCTCCTAATCTGTTAATTTGAGTTATTAAGTAATCCCAAGTTTGCATCAGATTTTTTTTTTTTTTAACTTTTTAACATGTTTGAGAAGAATCATTGTTTTTGTTGCACAAGTTGTTAGTCATATGTAGATTTCTACAAATGTAGCCTTTGTGGACACTTTAAAGTGCCAGATAGATATTCCTTACAGATCCTGCAATTAACACCATGAGGACAAAGTCATTTGTAGATATTTTATGATTTTAAATGACTGGAAGCCGGTCCTCAAGAAGCTTTAGATCAGAAACAAGATCTGTATGATCTGCATTGAGACGTTGAAATTTGTCTTTAATTGAAATTGTGGCTCTTAAAAATTTGAGCTGTTTACCAACAGTTCAGTCTTTACAGCAGGGAAACCAAATCCCAAGTGAAACCACTTCTTAGAAACTTTCTTTTAAGCTTACTGATGTGTCAGAGCCTGTTCTCACTTTTATGTAGTTGGAAGCTGATTTCAATTTATTGCCACTGCTAGCTTGGTGAGGAATATAGCAGGTTTTAATGGTCGACTTGCTAGGAAAATGGGAAGTAGGTGGAGTAATTTATTGAAACTTGTGCAAATATGCATGGAAACATACAGAATACGAGTGAAATTCTAATGACCTTGGAAGTCAATATTTTGTATGACCACCATTTAAAGCTCGTTGGATGTTGCCTGCTTTTATTTATTTATTTATTTAAATGATCCCACACAGTTTCAATACTGTTGCTTTGAAAGAGTCATTTTTGTATTTTTCTTGTTTTTATGTGTATGTTTGTTTCCCCACCCCCCACCCAGGTGTGCTTTTTGCAGCGTGTTTGGGTTTGTCATGCAGACTCTCTCCAGATGGTTTTACATGGTGGATTAAAATTTTATGGTACTTTTCTCTGTTCATAATTCCACCAATTTTGCGAACACCTCCAACACCACTGGCTAAGATGGAGCCCCAAACCATGATGGTGGCTGCACCGTGGTTTTCAAATGCCTCAAATTGACAGTCATTTGAACTATAAATTTCAAATTTGGATTAATTTCTCTAACTGAGCACTAACTTTCAGTCTAGTTGATGATCAATTGAAGGGTCAGATGCATCTCTCAGTTCTGTGGGAGGATCCCCCCCCTGACGATACTTCTTAAGGACATGACTTTCAGATGCTATAGAAGATGGCCTGGCTGCTTTCTTTCCTTTTGTAAAGCTCAAGACTCTTGTGCAGGACTGTATATTTCATGTTAAAAAAGCAAAACAAAAAACTAAAGCTTTAAGATAAATGTAGTGGAGTAAATGCTGTGCCGCTCTTTAGAATCACCTGCATGTTGCAAGAGGGAGGCTGGCTGCTCTCAGCTTGAGCAAAGTGTACAGGAAGTCTGCCATATTTAAAGCTCCAAATTAATGTCTGCAAATAGAGATAACTTTATTTTATTTTCTTCTTTATTTAGTTTAGCTGTGTTTGTTGTGTAAAACAAACCAGAAGTGGGTGGGTGGAGCTAGAAACATTTTCTTCACATTTAAACTTTGCATATGTGGTTTGATAGAGGACCTTTATTGGTATTTTAATGTGAAAATATTGACTGCTTATTTATT